TGTCCGTAATCAGCATCCGTAATCATCCACATGCATTCAGCGGTGTAATTTTAACAGACACGTCCAGCCTCGTGTTAGTAATAACTATTGTAAGCACTGTGCAGAATAGAAAAGATGAAGCTTGGAAAAACGTACTATTGGGGTTCAGTATTGCAACACATTTGTAACGGCAATAATCTGAGGTCATCAGCCGATTGTTAAGCGTGTTTGGTCGTCAAAGTGAATTACGAACGGTATCTGTCGCTGCTGTGACCCGTGGGGGCAAAAACGATATCACACAAGGACACTTTACAGCATAGATCGCAAAGAATTTTGATCCCAAATCTGCGTGCTAGTATTACATCCATGCTGTTAACTGGATACATCGGATTAATTCAATTATTTTTTGACGCTCACTTTCAATTCTTGCTGGTCCAAGATGCATCTTTGGACATTAGCCGGATCTCTTCTAGCAGCTCTAGTTGCGTGTTCTGCTGGAAAAATAGACCACGACAAAATCAAACCTATTGAAGAACGCCAACCGGTCACCCTTACAGAAAGACTTGTTTTCAAGTTCAATCCATCGATGAAAATTCGAGAGGAATTGTGTGTCGATTATCCTGCTGTCGATGCAGATGGCAATTTCTCTGGTGGACTCAAGCCGACAAATGGAAATAGCGGATGCGAGAGACCTCCCATGGATAGTCAAGTGTACGTTCGGGTTCGGAAGTACGAGGAAATGTGGGCCATCGTGTATGTTTGGTACTTCCCGAAGCGCTTTCAATCTGGCTGGCCCAGTGCTCGTCATGACTGGGAGCAAGCAGTTGTATGGTTTGATGATCTCAAAGAAAATCCATATGTCGTTTCAGTAGCCACGTCCCGCGGTGGCAAGTACCTATTCTTTAACCCCAGCCACGAGACGACATATGGCCCGCCTCTTCATTTTTTTCCTAATTATTTTGGAGCTCCGACGTTAATCAGAGAATCATATCCTGTAAAGTGGAAGTTTTATAAAGAACATCCTCGCTATTACATAGTCATGTGGGAGCAACTCCCGGAACCAGCTCGTGCAGCTCTGAGCGATGACAAAAATTTTGGAGATGCGAAATGTCCAATCAGGGATGATAAAATTGATCACCACCTTGAAAAGGCCTATCTGACAGACGCAGAAAGAAAACAAGGAAAGCCATCTAAATAGTCCTTATGTGAATATTTCTTTCATTTGTCGATAATGTACCTCACTTTTTCCCCGTTTATTGTCGAAAGCTCAGAAAGTTGTGTGTAGCTATGATCATGTGATAACAATTCAGCCGATGTTGATTTGTTGGTAAAAGCTGAAGTGAAAAAGCATCTAATGCTCCTGTGTATTTGTCCTAGCATTGCCATAATTAAAGCAGTTTATTTTTGATGTACGATGCAAACCATGAAAAAGACAAGACTTGCTAATTAGTGATCTCTAAACACCGAATATAAAAGCTTTGTGGTCTGAGAGAGTTGGAGCCTTAATTATGAAAGGGTGGCCATCACATCATGACTGCTAGATAATTTTCCTTGGTTCATTGTTATGCACTTAGCCGATGATCCAGTGGTCATCAGTCTTCGAATGTAATGAAGATGACACCTTTTGCACATGCATAAGTTAATTAGTTCATCCGATAAATATAAAATTAAGAAACTAACTCAAATCTCGGATGGGCAAACATGTAGGCAACAATGACGATAAAAGTAGCCTCTTCAAGTGAAAAAATATTTCGACAAGTCGAGTTATGATAAATATACAAATCACTAAAGGTAGCTAATCTGTGTTCATTTTCTGAAGAAACACATGTAAAAGTTGTGCATGAAAAATCGGTAGCTGTAATATCGCTCTATAACTACGTCATATCAACAAAATTTTTTACGATTCCAGAGCTTCGAAGTACCATTATTTATGCAGAATTTCGAATTTCAACGTTAAATTACATTATCATGACTGCGGATACCACTTCATTTGATTGCAAAGGACTACAAAGATGATAGCCGAATCTCCTTACCGCTGGAAGACGTCATATTGTTATGTCATGATTTCATTCGAAGTGCATTTCACTTCAGTTGATTGTATTGACATTCGATCTTTGTTAGTCAAGCTGTTATATGAATTAATTCACATTGATAACAAACTTTTTGTCATCCAAAAATTCAGAACAACTTATCATATACAAATACACATTAACCACTTCAATCTTTTTGTGTATAAGCTTACATTTCACGGTCACAGACGTGCATACATGAATCACTAGCTCAGACGGAAAAAGAACGTGATGTCTATGAGAGTATGAACGATTTTGTATGTATGCTGAGCTTGTGTCTAAAAATCATGAATAAAAGTTTTGAGAGGACGTTGGAAAATGTGTGAAAAGAATGGTGCATAGATTTTCCTTAATATGCATAGTAAAATCTAAATACAGGTATAACTACTGGCTATCTAGCCTTCTTGTTTGGGTGTGGTCACACCATGCCCATCTCGCGTGACACACACCCCTGTTACCAGGGTGTGTGTAACCCGTTACACTCTCTCCCATTAGATTGAGAACATTTACAGTTCCAATCGATTATTGCCTTGCGTGTCCGCTAGACACTGCAACTTGGTTCGTTAGTACAAAACAACTTCCGTGCTCAATGAGCTCTGTGTGTCATGGACACTGAAGTCACCAAGTCTCGCTGGTTCTGCAAGCACACACGGGCAGAGCCTAGCTTCATTTCCCGCACACGGTTCCATATCGGACCGTGTCTCCGCGGCATCGAGAGACGTAAATCCTAGGCTTAATGAGCCCAAGCGTCGCGGTCCGCACACGCTAACGGTGATAAGTGACCTCGTTGGGGATGTAGAGGTGGTCGACTACGAGTGTCACACTCCTTTTCCCGAATGGAAACACGAGGAAGGCGAGCTGCGCCAGCGGCGTGAGACGAGCCCTGCTCGCGCCTTGCAGACCCCACGTCCGTTTTCTGACCTCTCATCACCTGAGGGACGTGGTGTGGTCACCAATGACCTCGATGAGGCACAGAAACGGCAGCTCGAAGCTCCCCGTAAGGTTGATGTGCGTCCATCCACGGTCAGTCATTGACCCTCGTGAGGAATATGGCGGATTCCACTGTTAAATTGAAGGACGTGGTAATCCGGCGGATTCCACTGTTAAATAGAAGGACGTGGTAATCCGATCGTTGCGCCTTCGAATCATCGGGCCTCCGACCGTTATGGAAGATGACCTTGCCGAACAGAAAGCTCTTCGAGCTCGTTTCTTGGTTTCACAAAAATTTCGCTAGAAGCTGATCGCACTCGTCTACGCGCACAACGAGGTGGCTCTCGTGTACCCGCAATGCGGACAATACGTATAGTTCTCGCCCCTGGCAAAAGCGCTACAGATGACGAAGCGCTGTTTGAGCGATGGGTACAACGTCACCTAAAACTTTGCTCAATGTATAACTTACAGTTGAGCGACAAGAAAAGGACGTGCTGATGGAGCGACACCTCCGATTTGAGTCTGCCAAACTCAAGGCACGCCATCGACTTCCTTCAGATTGTCACCCTGAGACGTATGGGTCAACCTAACTAACGCTCCCGCGATCTCGTGTCTGCGACCGCAAGAGCTCAGGACCACCGCTTGAGCTCAGCTCATGGCCCTTCTACTTCCCTGGCTATAACATTCTTTCTAGGAATCGGCGTCTGTGCCAGAATGGTGGCTGCGTTGAGCTTATTGTAAGCATGAATGATACGCCACTTGCCGTTCGGCTTGCGGACACAAAACGTGGATGATGAATGGGGAGACTTGCTCTCACTAACCATCCCTGCGTCGTGCTTCGAACGGAAAAATGTCATTGACGTCGCACTGCTCCTTGGGCAGGGGCAATTGACGTGTTACGCAGTATTTGGTTCCCTGAACCAGGTCGATCTCATGACGCACACATTGATTTAGAGGTAGGACCGAAGACGGGTA